TTGCTTAGTCATGCTTACTAGACTTGCCAACACACTTCTAGCCTTAACAACTCATCACTAGCTTGCTTTCTAAATGTAACAGCTGCTGGAGTACTTGATTATGTATAAATATTTGTATTCAAGGCTGAAATATTGAGATTTATTTAATAAGAAACTAGGGTGTTACACATACACAATAAAAGCAAAAGGTTACTGATTAAGAAACTACAACTTATTAAATTTACCCTGCTTCAATTATCAATTATCTTTTTCCTCATCCTACAACCACAAAAAGTATTACAAGTTACTTATTCAAACTTAAACCTCTTATAGTGCTGTCAGACAGGCAAGGAAAGAGCTGTTTACCAGCTCTTGATTTGCACCCAAACAACAAAAAGAACAGGCTTGTTATCCAAATTAGTTTGGTAGGTTCAAGACTAAATCATTGGAATTTATCAAGAGGTGAACATCTACTCCGAAAAATGGATAACATCACTCCACACACTCCAGAGGCCAATACCTAAGGTTGTGCTTTTGTATACTCTAACTTGTTCAGATCTCTATCTTCACCGCTGCCCTCTTTGTTGATCTTGGCATACCCCTACCACAACCAACACCCTACTCTCAAGTCTACTCTTCTAACAGAAGCATCCTAGGGTCTGTTTTTGAGATGTTAGCCATCCAATTAGGCGTTACCTCGACTTTACTTTAGTAAGTGCCACTCCAACTTTCTTCGGACATGACAATGTATAATCTATCCATATTTGTTGGTGACAATACAACTTAGGATTCATAATTCTACTACACTCGTCTCGTGTGGAAGCTGTTTCCAGTGGTCCAACATCCTTTCATGTAATCATAACAAGTTACTTTTGTTTTATAAAGATGATCTTAAAATCAATAGAACTTTCCGATAACTTAAGACTCTAAATGTTTGTTGCTTCCTCATCTACCTTGCTTTTATCTTATGACCGATCATTACATCATTTACTTATGTTGACCCAAAGTAACCAAAACATATTTCTTAGCTCATATTGTCTAGGCGTTTTTACCGCCACCTTCCACTTTTCCATTTACAAGGCTAAAGTTGCAATTCAGATAGTTTGTTTTAGTCTGATTCAGCACACGTCTTGTAGACTTTTAAGTGCTTCTCCCAAACTCTAGCTTTACATTAGCACGTAACTTAGTTTCACCAACCAACATGATACACACCAAAATGTGTACACCATGATATGTTATCTGGTATTGTTTTTCATCAGTGTGCTCATAACTGAAGTGGAGAAGTAAGGACTTGCAAACATCCTTTGAGCTATCCATTGTAATATAGAGATTGTCCTACCATATGACCCTCGTTAGAACCTTATTTTACAAATTTTAGATTAATTAACACCTTATTCTGCAGTTTACACCTCCTCATAGATCAACCAACTAGAAGCATTTTGGTGCTTGAATCAGACAGCTAGCAGAATTTATTAAAGTTATTAATTCCCGATGGTTGCTTTAGGTCCTATCAGGTCATCAAACTTGAATCCTAGAAGGGATTGTTATATGGTATTGGTAAGTATATTTTCGACCATAAATTTAAGTCGCAGAAGTGTATACCTGTGTTCCCTAAGTATTAAAATATACTTGTATAAACAAATATGAGCTTAAAGATATATATATGTTAGATCGTGCCTAGTAACTGGATTCTCAAAAACTATAATAAAATGCTAAAGGCACCAGCGCATCAACAATAATCCACATAACCCTTTTCACTGATTAGGACGGAATAATAACACTTGCAAGAAGCTGGGGACATTGGATTCCTGGATATCTAATAAACAATCAACGAGAAAATAAAAGGAAGGAAAAAGTACAAGTCGGTGCTATAAATACAGCATATGCATTCGGTATCTCCGGAGCAACTTGTTGGATGAACAGATGGATAAGTACATGTAACGCGTCGATCTACAAGAATCATAAGGTTAAAATAGAGAGAAGCAAATCAAACCTGTTGAGGCTGAGATGAAGGCCTGGACACCCAAGGGAAGTGTAAGGTCTTGCGAGGAGGTGGTCGGACGTAATCGGCTGTTACGGTTACGGCTAGGGCGGATATGACCAGAACCGCCGCCGCTAACGGTAGCACTATGTTCAACCTGTTTGACACCATTTTGAACCGCAAATTTCGAAGAGAAAGGGAGAGGGAGGTAGCATCTGGTGTGAAAGGAGAAAGGAGGCAAAATCTGAACTCCAAGTATCATAAAAACTTACAAAATAAGCCCTTATGGTTTATGTTGTTTCCGGAAACGACCCTTGTTGCTTATGGATTCCAGTTTGACAATAATTATCACAACAAAGAGACAAATAAGTCATGTTACTTTTTCTTTAGTAATTAGTAGTGCCTTTTCACTTTTTTAAATTACTAATACTAATTTTGTTTTTTGGTTATAAATCATTTTAATATGCATTTGCTTTTCAAAATTTACAAACATACATAAATTTAATCAAATAATTACGATAAAAATAATATATATTGCATTGAAGCAGAGGCCCTTGCGAAACTTTACAAATTGGATGAAGATTCGGTTTCAAAAACTTTACAAATTGCTCTCAGCCATCCCATAACTAGTACAGTAAAAAAAAAAAAAAAAAACATAAGATCTAATTGGATCTGCTACCATCCGAATTAGATTTTATTTTTTTTATAATTCAACCAATTTAAAATTGTAAATTATTAGATATAGGTATGTAAATGAGAACACGTTTCTTTTACGAAACACACAAGAACATCCTTTACGTGTAATAGATGCTTCAACGCGATCTAGCATCATATGTGTTTCACATATATAGAGAATAGAGAATAGAGAATAATAGATGGGCTTATGGAAATGGAAAGGGCTGGATGGGCTTTTTGTTGATGTTTTTAAGTAACATATCCATCCATTCCATACCCATAGAATGTCAATCGGATTCAGTCCATACATAGATTTAGATTTAGATAGCATACGTTGGTTTTTGTCATTATATAAAAGGCGACGGCTCTCCCAAAAATATCCTCTCTCACCATTCAACCCTATCTGGATTTAGGGTCTCTGCCATCCGTCTAGGGTTCTTATCATCCTCACCCTCACCCTCTCCCTCTTACTTCAATCTTACCAACCCCTCCCTTTATTTTATTAGGGTTTTTATCCATCTTCCACAACATGATGCAACCAGGCAACGGTATGCCACCACCTCCAATGGCTCCGATGCAGCCGCCACCACAACAGTACCAACAAGCGCCACCGCAGCAGCAGTGGATGATGCCTCCACCTCCTCAACAACAGCATCAACAACCACTGCCGCCCCATATGTGGCCCCAACAACAGCCACCGCCTCCACAGCAACAGATGATGCAACCAACTCAGCAGCAGCAGCAGCAGTATGCTGCTGCTCCTAGCACTACCGATGAGATTCGCTCGCTTTGGATCGGGGACTTGCAGTATTGGATGGATGAGACCTATGTTACCAATTGTTTCTACAACACTGGAGAGGTACCCTTCATATTTTTAGTTATTTCATTATGTGAATCTTAGAAACTTACTGCAAATCTTTCACCTTGTTTTTTATCTTTCTTGTGAGATTTATGCTGTTGACTTTGAAGTTGTTACGACCTGGTTTCTCTTGTTTATTTAATTTTATATACGTATACATCTACACACCGTTTGGTTAGTTGTCGTTGTGTAGAAATCAATCATCTTGTTGGTGTGTATGTGAATGTTCAACATTGGAGATATTTCCCTTCACTGGATGTGTTCAAATTGAAGGTGGTGAACTAACTGATTGTTGTTATGTATACTATAGGAAAAGATTCTTGTTCCATTTTGCTAGTTATGTTGGGCGATGTTGCCTGAACCTTGGAACTCCCTACATAACTCTAGCTATACAATAAAAGCCGTGTTTATTCCTCTTATCTAATTATTCATGGTTAGGCTCTTTCCTCAATGGGATCAGTACTATAATTCTTGAATAAAGTGTCACTCCACTGGCCTTGTTGATTTCCAGAATCTAGGAACTTTCACAGGTTCAAGTTGTGGGTTTGTTTTAGGCAACTTATTTTCATTTACACTGTTGTGGGATACCACATTTCCACCTTTTAACCCCTCGAAGATCTGAAACGTATTCTAAATTTTTTGTTCAGGTTCTTTCAGTGAAAATTATTCGAAACAAGCAAACTGGACAACCTGAGGGTTACGGTTTTATTGAGTTCAGGAGTCGTACTGGTGCAGAAAATGCTCTACAGACCTACAATGGAACACTGATGCCATCTACTGAGCAGAATTTTCGCCTCAACTGGGCTACCCTTGGTGCAGGGGAGAGACGCAATGATGATACCCCTGACTACACAATATTTGTTGGTGATTTGGCCGCAGATGTTTCAGATTACATACTGCAGGAGACATTCAAAGCTGTTTATCCATCCATCAAGGGAGCGAAAGTTGTCACTGACAGAACAACTGGACGTTCTAAAGGCTATGGTTTTGTTAGATTTGGAGATGAGAGTGAGCAAGTTCGTGCCATGTCTGAAATGAATGGAGTTTTATGTTCATCTAGGCCAATGCGGATTGGTCCTGCGGCTACCAAGAGTGGTGCAGCAGGTGGGATGCAGAAAGGTATGTTCTTTAAGTGCTTTAGCATGTCACTGTTGTGAAACTAACCTTAAAGGATTGTTCTTTTAGATGGATGATTGTATTATTTTTTAGAAGGTCTTATCCTATTTGTTTCTTTTGATGCCTTTTAGATAGAATTGTCCACCTTTTGTTTCTCTCGATTATTTACTCTTTCGTAAGGCTTATGGTGGTTTTGGACCTGGATCTTACATCACTCATGCCTTCTGGTTACCATAAAATTTAGTCATTTCTTTTCAGTAGTTACATTTGTGAACCTGGGAGAGTTTAATTATGTCAGAAATATGCAAAACTTATAAAAGCTCATGTTGTCTCAAAAGCAGGACCCAGAGAGGCTCTCATTTTTGGGTGCCTGGAACTGATTTCAGCCGAAATGATTCCACTTAATTGCAGTGGCCTTGTTTAGGTCAGTGGTTTTGTTTATGTAATGAGTTTCTTTCCTTATTACAGTTCTTTTGGCGCTCCTTTTTCTATATTCACCTTAGTTTTCAGTTCCGTTCCATATAGCTTTCCAGTTCTTTTTTATTTATTTACCAGTCTAAAATAAACTGCTTTGATTCTCTTTTAGTTGCATGTCTTTTTTATCTATTCAATTTTGTGTACGCCTCTTAGAACCAAGTATTCTTTTCATATCATGTCATCTCCGCTATTTGTTAATGGCAGTTCCTTTTTCTTCTTATACCCTGCCATATTGGTTCTTTGAGCATTCTTTTATCATCTTCGAGTATAGGAGAGTGCTTTTCATTTTCGGTTCTTTGTGTTCTGGTAATGGTACTATGTTACCCTGGGTTAAGAGTTTGGATGTGGATGGCCAGTTATATTTTCCATTCCAAGAGTCTCATATCAAAGACCATAGGTCGCAAGGGTTTATAGAAACAAGTATGTTCTTTATCTATGTCTATATCTTGTTAATTTAGGTTTTGGTTTACCCTTGATTGGATTTAGGATGGTAAAAGTGTGTACCTTTGCCAATGTTGAGACTGTGAAAGTACTTGTCTGTATAATATCAGACATGGTCATGAATTCTTCCATCGTAGTTGTGTTTGTGGAGACCATGGCCCGAAAAGAGCTTGCCCTCAGATCCTAGTTCTTTTTAACAAATGACTTGTAGTCTTTTTTTATGTTGACTACCATCATCTTCATAAAGTAAGTTGCACATGCTCTTTGTAACTAAAGTCACCTTTAAAGGCATGTGCTTTTCTTTTTGACGAAATCTTAGTGGTCTTAGTGGATGTTTGTGTTCAAGTTGTTAGTATGTGCATTTGTGTGATTCCATCAAAAGCTGGAGTGCAGGTTGTATTCAAGGTAGGACAGCAATATTCTGAGGTTGTATTCAATTATCTCTAGTTACTGGTTTTTGTGGGGTGCCTGATCATAGCTTTTGCTTTTTAGCTGGAAATTCTTTTCCTTAGCAACCGGCTACTATTTTTGCCCCTTATAGTTTGTGCCTTTGTGGTGCTTGAACATGATTATGTTACAAACATTATGCTATTGTTTCCATTGATTGATATGGCATTAAGATGTGGAGAGCTGGTAAGTTCATTTGTGTTATAGAAGTATGGGTCTTGGTTCTTGACACTAATCTTCTGAGAAATCGACTTCCGTTTGGATAATTTCATCGTTCTTGATAATCTTTAGGCAGTGTATTTTGGAATTTAGATTTTCCATTCTTTTAAGAGTTGTTTCTTTACACTGTCTGAACATTATTGACTCATGCAGCTCCCTACCAAAATGCTCAAGGAAGTCAGGGAGAGAGTGATCCAAACAATACAACTGTGTGTATTTTCTCTCTATCTTGTGGTAGTTATTGTGTTCCATCATACCTAGTTGACAATTGACATTCATGATCGTCAGATATTTGTTGGTGGGTTGGATCCCAGCGTCTCTGATGAAGCCTTGAGGCAGGTGTTTGGACAGTTCGGTGAGCTAATTCATGTCAAGATTCCAGTGGGTAAACGATGTGGGTTTGTTCAGTTTGCTAACAGGTAATACATGAAGATTTTATTGTCCAGTCTGTTGAGCGTTTCTTGGTTGTTTTACTTACTTGTTTGGTGGTGTATTATGTTCCAGAGCATGTGCAGAGCAAGCGTTATCAATCCTAAATGGTACTGAATTAGGAGGCCAAAATATTCGCCTTTCGTGGGGACGTAGTCCGTCGAGCAAACAGGTATGAGTGGCCACCTTTTCTTTTGCTGCCGTTGGTAATTAGTTGTAATGATGTAATTGACAGCTAGAGTTGAATTTATATATAGGGACAGACAGATCAAGCCCAGTATGGCGGCGGCGGCGGTGGTGGTGCATATTATGGGTATGCACAAGGATACGAAGCGTATGGGTATGCTCCACCACCTCAAGATCCAAATGCGTATTACGGCGTGTATGCAGGAGCAGCTGGATATGGTGGTTACCAACAACCACAGCAGGTATGGTATATATAACGAAGCATCGTGTGAGAATGGGAGTTCAAGGGATATGAGCACTTTTAATCTCACCCCACCCCATGAATTACACGCTTATCAGGGGTATTAATCCGTTCAATTAGGATGGATATCTCTTATTACCCTTCTCGCTGGAACACAACCCAACCCAACCCTGGTATCTTTATGCATCTTTTGTTCTTTGATTTGGGCTAAATGTGGATATTGTTTGTATTTTGCAGTGATGATGTGGAAGTAGCAGAAGATGTGTTTACACTTGTGAGGTGTGAGAAGTGTTGGGTGTGTAGTAAGTAGAGTATTAATGGAAGTGGAGTTTGATGATATGCCAAGGGAAAGCACCTAGTTCGAGTTCGAGTTCTAGTGTCGATGTTACTTGACATTATCCTTTTGTTTTTTTTTAATGATGTTTCGGTTGTGGATCTCATCTATTATCTAACTGTCGCTGTGGGTTGAGAATATTGAATTTCTGATTTCAAAATCTTTGTTAGTTGCATTATATCTTTTCTTTAGTTCTACTGATCCCGGTTGGTATTAATGATGATTTCAAAATCCACTTTTGGTAAGATGTATGTTATGAAAAGTGTGGCAAAAGGAAAAAAACAAAACCTATAAAGAATTCCCATCTGTTACGCAACTCTCAACACCATCCGGAAGACTGTGTGTCGAGCATTGTTCTACTACAAGACATCCTCATTTTTACAACCTCGTTCTTTCTTTTATGTGTCCGACGCTCTCACCAAAGAATACAACATAGCTGGTACCTTCTTAAATTTGCCTTTTAGTTAGAACGGAACCTTCTTCTTGTCACACAACGGCTCTCCAATTTAGCCATCCACCGAATTCTTTCTGGTTAAAGAATATATTTCTAGTTGTTCTGAAACAATTAGGAGATTCTCTGCTATTGGGGCTCTGTGATGTGATGTGTTGAGAAAACTACATCCTTGCACTTCTGAATCACATAGTTTTCATCTTTATGCTAAAACTTCTTGCTTCGATGCCATTCTTGCATGCAGAAAGAGAGATCGTAAAAATATTTAAATAGAGAGAGATTATTATTTTAATACTTCGGTATTGAAAATAAATATGTAGGATAGAGAAACAACATTTTATTAAATGTATTTAATAAATATGTAGTATAAGTTAATATTAGAATTGGTAAAATGGAGCAGTTGTTTAACTTTTAATATTCTATTTTAAAGAAAAAATTAAAATAGCTGTTGCAGATTCTCGATATTTAACTCTTGAAGATATAAGAATTGCCTTAAAAACCATATTAAATCAGAAAATTATAAGATTTGCTCCATATAGTCATCAAGAGCATGAAAGACATCCAGAAAACATTCAACAGCCAAACACAATATAATCATATCATCAACTTAAAACCTACCTTTTCACTTGTACATTGTCCAGTCTACAAAATTGGAATTGCGAAACTCACGAGTGCATACAACTCAACAGCTTGAGGGCAAGCTCCTCTTGCTCGGCCAAAGAGATTGCATCCGTCTTCAATGCAACCTTCGATCTTCCCTCCTCCTCCTCACTATCGCTATTGAAGTACACCTTCGATTTTTTCACATTCCTCGTGTCTTCATCCTCATCCTCATCCTCTAATTCTTCATCTCTTGCCCTCTTCTGTTTCTTCTTCTCCTTTATTCTCTTTTCTTTGCGCCGTTGACGATCCAGGAGCTTGTCCTCCTGGTCGCGTGTTTTCATATCTTCTCTCATTTCGGCATACCTCTTCATTACTGCAAAATGCACATAGTGGAAACATGTCACCATATCACATATAGTTTGGATGCAACCAATGATATTACAAACTTCACCAAACAACATAATATGAAATAAATGGACCCGGGGCAGGTTCCTTTAGAAACCTAACTTTCATTAGAAACCAAGGGGAAGCCCAGAGCACGACACATGGCATATTAATCAGGAATATGGACGTGTTATTCATCATGACTGTGTGATTCATGATGAATAGCTTCCATATTCATGGTGAATATTCATCCTAAACAGGAATGTGGCGTGCTCTGCGCAGTTCCTAATCAATTTTGGGTTCCTAACGGAACTTCCCTAAACTATCTTTAGATCTTGACCAATCCCTTAGGATGGACGTAATTGAAGCTATGTAAAAACTGGTGAATGAAGCAATATAAGGTCAACGGAACTGTCACTAGGATGGAAAGAAAACGACTACTCAACAAATGGATGCAAGCAGGCAGAACTGTCAAATGGGAATACTACAATTGTGGCAAGTGAATGGGCACTTCCGATCATTTAAGTTTTAAGGGAGTAGAGGACACTGTAAACAGGCATGCAAACAAGCTCAAGTTGAATACAATGTCCACCAAACAACAAAGATTGTCCCAAGGTGACCAGTGAGCCCTGCAGGGTTCTCAAACACGAAATAGACTCCTTCCACACGCCCTTACCACATTTCGTTCGTGTCACATTTCCCCACATCATTCCACCAATACAGGGTGATGGTGGCTGTTTGGTTGGTTTCCATTAAGTCGTGTATGGATGCTGTCTATATAGATCAATCTGTCTGTATAGAAATAGATCGAGGAAGTTTTGTTTGGGAGAGTTTTTTCATAGATGGAAGGAGCGTGTTTTTTAATCGGGAGAGGAACATTTGGAGAAAACTTGGCTTTCTGCATAAAGCTCTCCCTATAAGCTTACTGAATAAGCCAATTTATATATCGTTAAGCTTACCGAATAAGCCAATGTATAGCTAACTGATAAGTTGATGAGTCCCATTAAGCTACTAACAAACAGGCCCTTAGTTTTTCAACAATTCTTGTCTACTAGTGTTAGCTTTTCTTCCCGTACTAGTAGTTTTTTGTACTACAGGGAGGTGGGGTTTGGGGGCGGGATGTATGCAGACATCTTCTAGAGAGTAGAGCGGTTGTTCCGTTTCGGTTTGATATTCCACCATCACCGTCCCCACCCCAGTTTATGACAACGTCCACTTGGTTGCAAGTCCCCTTTTATAACGAGTACATCTAGATGGAGGTAACCAGAAAGCCAAGCCAAGCCAAACAAGCCCAGTATATCCCACCGAGAGATGGGGTTTAGGGGTGGAACGTCAGCAGGACTGTCTTCTAGCCAGAGAGTAGAGCGGTTGTTTCCATGAAGACACGATTTGCAATACTATATGATATATGCTTTTTTTCTTTATTCTTACCTACAATTGCTAAAGCTTACAAACAATTTCTTGCTCACAGTAGATTTAGCTGCTTTGACCGCGGAACGACCATCACATTATTTTGTATTGAAAATCAATCAAGTCAAGAAGTAATGTAAAAGTCCTCTGTTAGAGCATCTACAATGCATGCATCTTTTATAGCTTTTTACCATTACAATTAGCTATTTTAAGGGGTAAATGCCATTGGTGGGGAAAGCTATCTGAAAAAAAGGTTGGAGATGCCCAACCGGTAATTGAGATGACTTTTTCACACCCAATTTTCAATTTACTTAAATTTTCATTTTAGTCCCCTTTCCAATATAATTTATCATTTTAAACCTTAATACATTTTGATCAATTAATCTAATTCATTAAATAAGTTCATTTTTACAACAAAATATATTATTAAAAAATTCTTGTCAAGAAAATCAAAATGACACCAATATCGAATGCCTAAAAAATATATAAATCATAAAATAAAATGTATTTATGATGGTTCTTTAGGAGAGGTTTTATAGGACAATTTAAATAGAAGAGGAAAAATGTTAAATTCTAAATAACAAAATGCTTTTCAAAAGGTCATTGCATTGGAGAAGGTTTTTAAGAACAGGTTTTTGTTAAAATAAGTTAAGTGGAAAGCTCGCATGGCAAAAACAGTAAGTTGATGAATAGGTTATGCATTGGAGATGCTCTTAGAGAAAGGGTGTTCTTTACCTTTATCTTTATCGAGCAGAGCAGAGTCTGTGGCACTCATGTCAGCTAATGTTGCAAGTGGTGGCAGTGTGTTCCCTTCCTCATCAAATACAACTCGTGTCCCCACTGGTCTATGGACATTAATCTTCAGCTTCTTCTTCTTAAGAACTCTAGTTGTAGGCCTACAAAAGAACATTTGAAGGCAGGCATTAAAACGTTGCACAAATTAAGTGCCAAAATAGCTAATCTAACCGCCACCTGCAAATTTGCAAAGTTGTTGGTACAGATCAGCATGATCACCAAGAATGTAAACATAATCAGATTGTTCTATTTGTAAAAAGCATTTCTCAAAAGAACAATAAGAAATTAAGAAGTTCAGAGATCACGTACAACAAATGGTCAGCTGCAATTGCTTTCCCTTCCTCACCATCTGCAGTTTCCTTGCTTTTAAGAAGATCAAGTTCCTCTTCCTCTTCCTCTTCAGATTCCTCAAATAAGTTGTTTGTTGGCTTTTGTCTCAAAAGCTTCACCGAATCTTTCTTTACAGGAACTTCCGGTACCAAATTGGACTCTCCGGGCATCTTTTTGTCTACATTTTTACGATCAAGGTAACGGAGCTGTGGGGTCATCGGCAGACCCAATGATGCCGAGAAGTCATCAATCGGAAGCTTCGTCACATCAAAAACTTCTTTATCTTTCTGTTTGTATATTGATTTCACGTATGTTTTAAAAGCCCTTTGAGCCAAAGGCTGCAAATCTGTGTACTTTGCTAGCAGAGCAGCCAACAAACCAGAAACAGATTGCAACCGTTTTGTGTTTGCCTGTAGCATATGAAAATTGCATCATCAAAATTACAACCAAGACTTCGAATGCCAACACGAATCAAGGAAAGCAAAAGAAAACGTTACCTTGTCAAATTGAACAGGTATCTTTTTCTCTTGCAATCTCTCGAGCATCTTCATCTCTGAAGGCAAGAGAAATAAGACGGACCTCCCCGCAGAATCATAGCGGGCAGTGCGACCCACTCTGTGTATGTAACCTGCAACATCATCAGGGCAATCCACCTGAAAAAGAAGTAAAATATTAATATTCCGAAAAGTGCACAGCTAGCGTCTTTGCAAAATTCTAGCTTACCTGAACAACCCAATCAACCCCTTTGTTGAAATCAAGGCCTCTTGAGGACACATCGGTTGAAAAGAGAACTGACCGTTGCTCAACAAACTGTTGCAATATGAAAGTCCGTTTTATTTGTTTCATCCTTCCATGCAAGCACTTCAAAGGGATACCCGGACGTAGCTTCTTGAATGCTTCGTATACAAACCTTACCTATCAAAGTGGGAAACAAATTAAATACAGCAAATTAACAGACAACAATAATCATGAAATCTCAACATCAACAGAAAAGACAACTTCATTTGAATTCGTCATATTCTAGTTAAACACAAAAAAATGAGCTACCTGCTTGCAGCTGGAAAGAAACACAAGAATCCTTGAATTTAGATGGGCCTTAATGAAGCTCCATAGCATATCTAGCTTTTGATCAAGGGGAACAAGCATGACTTTCTGCTGCAGACGACTCGGAGTAGCAGCTATAGCCTCCTCATCGACAGCAATATATTCAGGGTCCTTCAAACTGAGTCGTGCAAGATCCTTAACTGATTTTGTTTGTGTTGCAGAGAAAAGTAGAGTCTGTCTATATTTTGGAAGTTGCGAAATTATAGCATTTACTTCCTTCTTAAAACCAGCATCAAGAATGCGATCTGCTTCATCAAGTACCAAAACCTGTTGACTGGCATGAAGCATACACCCAAATCAGTAAACTGGCAAAAATATTGGAGCAACCAATATTCTGTTCTTACACATAATCAAAATGAGATAATCCTTCATAATTACTCTTAGGACCAAGAGGTGACAAGTTTACAAGCACTCGCCGTAACACCGAAGCTTGAGAAAGCAGCATGGCAGGTGAAAAAATAACAACAAAAACAAGAAAACGGAAAAATGGACCAATAAGTTTTGACCTGTAGCTGTGAACAATCAAAATTCGGAGTTGCGTCCATGTGCTTCAAAAGCCGGCCAGGAGTACAGATCAATATGTTCATCCGATTCACATGATCCTTCTCTTCATCATATTCATTACCACCAATTAAGAGACCGGCACTAAATCCATGGTGCTTGCCAACTGATTTTAATACACTAAAAAGCTGATCTGCCAATTCCCTAGTTGGAGACAGGATAATGCTACCTAGTCCATCCTCCAACCCCCATCTTGCTTTGTATAACTTCTCCAGAACCTAAAAATATAAAGTTTTTGGAATCAAATAACATCATATCAATACTTATTCTGGCAAAAAATAAAGGACTATAACCACAATATATATGTAAAACACAGCATATATCTTACAGCCCGTTATTAGATAATTATACTTTCTTTGTATGAAAATAATCATGAAGCAGCAAAAGATGGAAAAAAGCGGGTCATGATTCGTTAAGTCGATTACCACACAATGTAAGAGAATAAAAGGTTGAGGGCATGTTAGATTGGACTTTTAAACTTTTTGTCATACAAGTGAGGAAAGGATAAAATATCCACATGACCACATAAGGGAAAACAGTAAGGACTTTGTATGAAAGCAATGGTTTTTCTATTTCACATCACATCCACTGAAGGGTTCTTACAGAATGATGACTGATGAGCATTTCAAATTGAAAGAAGGATACTATGAGTGCTCTAGATCAGGTCATCTTAAAAAGGTGGTACATAGCTACAGAAGTGCATTCTTATCTCTTTAATTTGTTGCCAATTGCAATAGTTTCCACATCTGTTATGTTATGATCATCACAAGGTAATGGGTCTGAATTTCTCTTACAAGTGATTATTGATACTGTTTTTTGTCCACTGACAATACATGAAAGAAAGATTAAAATCAGCTCATGAGTCATGAACCACACCCCTCATAACGATGAAATGATATAGGATGAGACAAATTTTATAACCGCTGGTGATAAATTATAATAAGACCACTTGAAGATATATAGGCCATAATGCTCAGATAGATGATAAGAAAAGGCATTTACTTTTGGAAGAACATAGACCTGCAATCTTTCACACTTTTGCTGTGGAATGCCTACAAGCATGTTATAGTGCATTATTATTCAGGCCTGGTTTAAAGTCTAAGATCACAAAGAAAACAAGTCTTGCTATCATATTTTATTCGATAGTCCCACTTACTTTACTCTACATCATATGGAACATATGCATACATAATTACATATTCATATACGCATACCCTCAATGGATCAATCTAATCAGGTTGACAGCAAAGCGTATGTATCAAATGTTGCGCGTAATATTCATATAATAAGCTAAATAAATTACTCCCTAAAATAGACAAACTTACAGGAATTATAAACGCTAGGGTTTTGCCGGACCCAGTTTTGGCCGCGCCGAGTATATCACGGCCACAGAGCGCATGAGGCAGCGAAGCCCTCTGAATATTAGTCATGTTTCTATACCCAGCTTGACGCACTCCATCTTTTGTATTCTTTGACAATGGGAGTTGCTGGAATTTCGTGCACCCGGCGAACTGAGAGTAGGTACTCTCATCGATACGGCCGACCGGAGATTTAGCAGGCAGCGGCGGGAGGGATAATGGGTTGGAACCAGATTCGGGTTTCCCAAACTCTATCCATTTTTCCAATAATTCGATTTCTTGAACCTCCGATGTGCGGCTCTGTATCCGTAACTGCTTGGATTTTGGTTTCTTCATTGTTGATCTGGGAAATCGCTTGTTAGGGTTTCAATCGGAAGTGTTGGGTTCAGATTGGCTTAGGGTTTTAGGCGGTAGGACTTTGGGCACAATTGAAAATCCTGAAACAAACTAGGGTTTATCATGTTTCCCCAAATTTATAAATTTCATATACATTGAATGTTTAGAAACCAGAGAGTCTATACAAAATGTTTACCTCTAATTTCTTTAAAATAAATTAAATATATTTTCAGGTTTTTATAACCAATCCATAAATTAAGAAACTAATTTTTATAAATCTTTTTATAACTTATTCAATTCAATATTCTAAATAAATAGTAAATGACGAAAAATCAAAAAATACACTGGGAGGACACTTATCTTAGGTAGGCATGGTAACGGGGTAGGTTTTGTAATTCCCGATCCTTTGACTTCTGGTCAAACCTCATGAATAATATCTTTTGTTTTTTAGTCTCCCAAGAATCGTTGGCCCTGGTTTGAATAACATCCCCAACCCTGTCCCCGGTTTGAGTCTACCGGGAATCCCTGACCTCGAGACTCGTTTAGCGGGGAATCCCCGTCCCCGTTCGGGTCGAGTGAGCCGAGTTCCTCACCGGGTGAGACAAATCACCATCCTTACTGATAGGCATGGATGGACGTTAGGGCCAATCATAAAAATGTTAGGAGTTCTCATGTAATTTGGAAGGTCATGTGATACTGACAATAATTTGAGGGGACTTCTGGTTCACAAGATGTTTCTTGATATAATGGAATTTGATTTTGAAGAAATTAAAATGAGATATTATCCGGTATGACCACTCGTTTATTGGCATACATTAAAATGGAATATGTTTGTTTACATAATGTAATTTTGGAATTAAAATGAAATATTAGTAAATGATTAAAATATATATATTTTTTAAAATTAAAACTGAAATCCATCTAGATTAGTGGTGGCCGATGATGGCCGGCGGTGGTTCAGATTGGTGGTCGTCGGTCGTGTTTCAGATCAACGATGGTCGGTGGTGGTTGGCGATGATTCAGATCGACGGTTCATAATGGTGGTTCAGATGGTGGTGATCGGCGATGGTTCGTATCAAGTAGGGGAGATGAATATAATTTTGTATTTTTTAGAAAATTGGTTGGAATGGAATTCAAAATTTCCTCAATTGTGATGGAATGACCAAATCAATAAATAGTGAAAACGTGTATAATTCAGTTCCATTTCATAGCAACCTAAATGTCTGAATAAAATTTAGTCAATTAAATCAATCATCCCTTTAAATTCCGTCAAAATCCTACGAACCAGATAACTTTCGGAGTTGTATGTAATTTGGAAGCTCGAGTGACGATGACAAGAATTTGAGAGATATGCACTTCACTCTTTATTTAGTTTCATAACTGACAAGTTAAACTTTATGGTTTTGCACTCGACACCACCCTAAATTATTGGCATGGAAAGCATAAGAATCAAATTACGCGTAACGTTAACTTTCCCATATGCATATACGTCAGTTGAAACACGGGATCATGTTATATTTACAAAACATCATATGTTTTAGTTTAAAGCAATTGAATTGATAAAATAAATACAATCATCAATTCATTATGTGTTGAAATGGATTTGGAAATGGAGATGAAATATACCCTAAACTACCTTCTATGTTTATTTCTATAAAGGGTATATGATGAGGGAGGGTAGCCGCCCCCCCTTCCCCTCATATTCCATATAGCAGTAGCACAGACCGGCCCCTATTATAAATTGCTTTTCTTAAATCATCAAATGCTCATTCCATTTTTACCTCTCCATTCCAAGGTGTCATCTTTCAAGAACTACATCTACCGCTAGATCCCCCCCCCTCTCCCTCTCACAACGATTCACTTCATACTACCAACAATCAACAACATCCTCAAATATGGGTTGCAGAAATGGAGGACAATTCCAACCCCAAGAACAAGACAGAAGATCATCGTCAATTGTGAACGATGCCTTGCTCTTAACCACCATGTGCATCATTGGCTTCCCTGTTGATGTTCACATCAAGGATGGTTCCATCTATTCTGGAATCTTCCACACTGCTTCTGTTGATGACCATTATGGTATGTAGGTTTTTTCTTGTATTCGTCTTCATCTCATGATTCTTGATCTGAATCCCTTCATGGGGTTTTGGGTAATTGTTAATATTTGATCTTGAAATCCCAATTTAGTTGATAAAAGCTTTTATCCACTGCCTCTGCTTCCGAATTCCGACCATTATGATCTGTACGTCTTCCTTGATTTCTTGTTTGCGGGCTTTCTTGATTTCTTGTTAGTTTATCGAGTTATGATCTCAATCTTTGATGAATCCCTCTGAAACTGCCATTTGAGTAGGTTTACGCGCTCAAGATTTGATCTCTAATGCATTGGACGACAGAAAATTACACCTTTTGATCACTGACATATTCTTCAACTTGGGGGTTATATTGATTTCCCCAATTCAGAAATTGATTCATAACACCATTTATTAATTTTATATAATAGGTAGAGCTGCAGAAGCATGTGGGACTCTAATTTACAGAAATGAGTCTTTAGTATCATATAAGAAACTAGCGTATTTGGACGATCTATTGATGATTGATATCAACGTCTTTGATCTTAGAGATGATAACCCATTTGAATGTTGGATAGCCCTCTGCAAATTTTGGAAAATTGGTTCTATGTACTATTTGATGTAGCCACCATTGATGGCATGGCTTAATAGATAAGAGTATCTAATTTTCTTGAATGAATAGATTACCATAAAAGAGTAAATGAAAGATCCGCAACGTTCAAACAACGCAAAATGAGAAGTAGAAACCTGAATGAATGTAGATTTTTAAACCAGTGGATTCTATCGAATATCTTTGTTTGATTTGAATTGCATTTCCGTTGATCTAGCTATTGTGTTGAAACGAGCAAGGATGATCAAGAAAGGAAGCTGTGATTCAAATGTGGCGAATGAGGGGGTGATAGGAACACTTGTAATCCAGTCAGAGGATCTTGTCCAAGTGGTTGCCAAGGTATTCATGTGGCATTTTACATTATTAACCGTTCATCTGAACAGTATGTACATGTGCATACAAGTAATTAATAAATTTGTCTAGTATGCACATGTGCATAACATGCGCACGTGCATAAAAACCAAAAAACAACTTCAATTACTTGTATGCAGCGCATACCATCCAGATGAACAGTTAATCTCTCTCTCTCTCTCTCTCTCTATATATATATATATATATAATAAGTCATATAGTAAGGTGACTTAATATACGAGCATGGTTTTCACAGAGAGTACTGCTTCCCGCGGATGGTTTTGCTGGCCATGAAACCGGGGATGATACGGAGGCTGTGGCTTGCGCTTTTCCTTCTAACGGAACTCCATTGACAGAAGCAAATAAAACAATCTCTAGCATGTCAAATGTTGATCAGCCACATGCTAATCAAACAAGGTCGGGATTTCGTAAATCTTTTTCTGAAATTTTGTTCATAGTTTCATGGAAACCGTAAACCATCACAAGATTAGCACAAAAGATTCGGTATATATTGATTCAAATCATTATGTTGAATTGCACTACTTACTCAATACATATGCTTTCCTTATTCAGTACTTCAATCGTGTTCCCAAATTCAGTAATTAATAGTATTGATTCATATTATAGCATATTAATAGAAAAACTTTCAAGTTTTGTATGGCAGTGAGTGCGTAATTAGCCCTAGACCGACAATCTTGACAAGTTCTTTTATAAATTCAAATAACATGCTATGGGGTGCACTAAATTTAGTATTTTTTTTTCGTTGTTAATGAATCTTTATTCAAATGGTATGCATCGTTACTCACATTTACATTTGTCTTTGCAGATGCTCATCCGGGACTGAGAATGGGCTTGCTAATGGCTTTAGGCCCGAGCTTGCTATTCACTCGAGTAATGTTCTGGAAGTCAATAGAAAAGCAGATCTCAGAGGCTCAACAAAGGTGACATTTTTCCGCCAACTTGATGAATTAATGTACACGGGAACTGAATTATGGGCAAAGGTACCTACTTTTTACGCGCTCTAATCAGTTTTCTTTTTCTTTATTACAGAAAGAAGAATCTTTGAATGATCAAGATGATAACAGGTAATCATACTAATTTTTTCTGTAATCTATTAACGATAAATCATGGTGTTTTTTTATTTCAAATGGGGTTATCGTGTTGTACTTAGTTCCCATGAATTGCTTATGGCAGAAAGAACGGATCTAAAGTCCCTGCTAACGGAATACTCCCTGATGGTGCTGCTTCTTCTACTTCCAAGAAACAAGAAACTGTTGACGCTGTTCCTTCTGCTACGATATCTTCAGAACCATCATCAACTCCAAGTGAACCCGTCACTTCAAAAATCTTGAATCCTAATCGAGCCACTAAGGTATATTGGTTCAATTCACATGTGAATACATTAGTTCTGCTTTTTTTAATAATGTGCAATTTGTCTTTAGGAATTTAAACTTAACCCTGGAGCAAAGATCTTTTCGCCATCATTTCCGAATAAGAGATCGGCTACTCCTCCAGCAATGCCAGCGGGTGCAAATCTTGCATATGTTCCAGACGGTTATCCTGCAGTACCAGTTGCTACTCCGCAGCCAGAAGTTGAAGTCAGCCCATATGCTCATCATCGTCCAGTGCCCGTTAAGTTTGTTCCATATGGTAACTTGATTTCTGGAAATGGAGGCGGCGATGTTCAACATCCTCCACCTGTAAGTTGAGATGAAATGTTCTATTCACATGTGAATACGTTCCACCCCCCGAGTCCCTGACCTTGCTTTCATTTTGGTTGTAGATTGTTGGATATGTGGCAAATAGGAGTCAGCCGGTTAGATATGGTGGCCAATATCATCCTGTTCAAACAGCGCCTACCTATGTTCAACCAAGCTCTCAGAATGTAAACATCTATAAGTACCAAGTGTGGTTTTAATTTTTGCAAATGAGACCAATGATCTGATGTCGTGTGTTGGCTGTTACAGGTAATGGTTGGAAGATTGGGACCGGTTTTCTACGTCCATCCACTTCCTCAAGTAAGATCTTTCGATGACTTTGATGTATAACCAAACCGGTAACCGGATTGGTTTTCTAAAGTAAATGTGTTGGGATTTGTCCAAAATGCGTGTAAATGACAGAAAAACCGAAATGGGGAATAAATGTATGAAATGAAAAATATGCATGTGGTCCAAGTTTGGTGACAAATTTTCGTCTTGGTTATGCTGGTGTTTTTATTCACATGTGATGACCATGTAAATTGTTGATGCTGGTGTGGTGTGGTGTGGTGTGTCACCTATTCTTATTCGCATGTGATGATTATGTAAATTGTTGATGAAGGACATGGTCCCGAGTACAACTGGTTTCTCTCAAGGGTCTACGTGCTCTATCTTAACTCCGCACCAAGTCCACGTCCCTAAACACCAAGGTAATCTTTATTCCTGAGGATATTCATGGAAAGAACCGCTCTATTTTTCTGGATCTTTACACTCTCGGTTTCTTTTTAAAATGTTCCAATGCAGGAACCGGAGCGGCCCAAGCATTGCAGCTATGTGCGACGCCTCCATTTATAGCTGCGGGTGGTCAAGCACCGTTTGTGTTGCCGAGCCACATTCCGATTTCGCAACCGCCGTACCCTGTGATCCGTCCAATCTCGGTCCCGGGGTCTAATGGTTTCTTAGTATCAAAGTATTCTTGAATCGAGAAAATAGAGGTTTCCCTTATTGTTTGGTTTAGAGAGAGAGAGAGAGAGAGAGATGAAAAGGTCTTGGCCAAGTTTTGAATTTTTTTTCTTCTTCCCAGTTTGATAACTTTTCACCTTCATTCTGTTTTGTTCTTTTTGTAATTCAAATACAGAATGAGTTCAACTTTGAAGAGAGCTAAAGAATTGATCATATTGATTTTTGATATAAAATTTGAGCTGCGTTTGTTTGTATACATACAAACATGTTATCTGTGTCGAGCACAACGCTTGTTTTCATAAAAACATCTGCCTCCATCTCTAACAGGCCAAAACATGGGTACTAAATCTCATCCAAACTCCGCACTTCAACTTAAAGGGACATTGGTTCAGCATTACCCACCTTCTACTCAAGGTCAAGGATTCAAGTCTCATCGTAAGAAAAGCATAGAATACATGACGAAACCAGATGAAAACCATCTTCGATTGCATACATGTAAGTGCTTAAGAAGCAAGAACTAATTAAGCATAGAACACGAAACAAAACCATCTTCCATTTCATACATGACTACTTACGGGATTTCGACTTTTTACCAGAGTTTAAACGAAGTTAGCAAGCCGGGTTTTTTTTCTTTTTGAAAACATAATCAAGGTAGCTTTTTTCTATGAAACGACAAAGAAACTGCAGGCAGTCTATCCTACACTAGCTGTTTTGTTGCACTGTTAAATAAAACAACATCCAACGTTTTCGGCTCCATAGCATTTGGAAGGTATGATACTCGCCGAAGAGACCAAAGGCTGACTGAACTTACATCCTTCCTGCCTGAGAATATGCCTGATGATGATGATGATCGGTTTCTTCATCTCTGTTACGACCCACATTAAAACCTGCAGTTGGATGTCCATTTCGAGGAACCTGGTCATCACCCAAATTCTGCTGAACAGCCTAGAGCGCAATATTAACATCAGTGTGAATATTTAATATAGTAACTTGTATAAATCAATCGACACAAACCCCATATACCCCCCTCTCGAAAACAGGATCAGTATGCAGATCTGCCCTCTACCCCAAAGGGTCGATCTATGTGCAAAAGTGTGAGCGAAAAGAAAAGAACCAAATCCCATCCTCAACCTCTGTAAGGGGCTGCTTGGTTGGTTTTCCATTAAGTCCTGTATGGATAAAGTTGTATGTGTGGATTAATTTCTTTGAAGGATTTTTTTCATAGATGGAAGAAGCGTGTTTTTTAAATAGGAGGAGCAGGTTTCGTAAAAACTTGGCTTTCTGCACAAAACTCCCCCTAGAAGCTTACTGAATAAGTCAGTTTCTATATCATTAAGACACTACCAAACAATCATCTCTAACTGACCAAATAAGTTGCCAGTCCTATTAAGCTCATTAAGCTTCTAACAAACGGCCCTAATTCCCTTCTTCCTATCCACACTAGCTACAGAACTACCTTTTTTGTGCAAGATGTTGTGAGGTGAAAAGGGTGGCTAGTGAATTTCGGAAGACTCGGAGAGAGAAATAACAAAAACAAAAGAGAACAGTGTGAAAGAACAGGCAAAACAGAGTTATTTTACCTGCAAAAGCTCTGTCATTCGCCCGGTTCCACTATGCATAACAGGTCCTAATACTGGTGCAGGTTGGAAATGGTGAACTACATGTCGAGTTTGCAGGGGTTCAACAAAAAGAGGCTCGTTCATGTCAGCAATATCTGATTCTGTTTTGACTTGATTGGCAAACAAGCCACCACCTTGCAGTTGCACATCACTTGATTTTGTTGGCTTAACCCCTTCCACCTGTTGAGCGTCTGGCATGCCTTGTTTGAAAGAAGCATTTTCGTTTCCGGATCCTGTGGGTGTAAATTGGGAGCTAGTTTGAGACTCCGATGCTTGGCTTGTTGATCCATTCGGTGGGTAAACTGCCAAGGGAAGAACTGTGTGCACAGGCTTGCCTTGTGTGGCCCTCAAATGAGGAGCAGGTTGATTGGTTGATAATCCATTTGATAGGTTAATTGGTTGAAGAACAACAGGCACGACAGTTCCTCTAGCACCAACTGGAGGGACGGAGGGAGCTATAACATAGTTCCCTTTAGACGGTGAATTTGTCATCACCGCATCTCCCAGAGGTGATCCATTCCCAACATAAGTAACAAGCTGCATATTCTTCTCCTTTGATCGTCGTTTGCGCCTACGAACAGGAGTATGGAATTCTGGAAATGGAACTTCACTTCTTTTGATCATTTCAACATGAGGTGCCACATCATTTTCTGCTGTCACAGGGGTGGTATGCCCTGGTTTGAAGACAGCCCCCCTTAATGTGATATTTGAGTTCCCAATCCTAACAGCAAGCAGGTAACCAGCATCAAAAGTGGCCTCGACAACACCAGTAACAGACTGTCCGATCATAACTTCATTTGGATCATTGATTGGGTCAACTCGAGGAGTGGTGCTATTCATCTGGACAAAACCAGGAGGCATCCGAGCAGCTTGGGAACGAGCTTTTGCCGCTCGTCTTTCACTTGGATCCTTTCGTGGGCGGCCACGTTTGCGCTTTTCAGGAATAATTAGTGATGCATCAGGTCTTACTTCTTGGTTCACCGGGTTCATTTTCGGCAGTTAGCACAATATATGCAGATTTTGGTTAGAAGAATCTAAAGCTTTTATCTGCATAAAGACAAATCTCAGTCAATGGTGAGTTCTGACACAAGGGAATGAGAGACAGAGAGAGAATACAAAAAATAAAGCTACGCGCCTGACCAACAAACTAAAATGGAGTGAAGTATCCTCACAGACCAAATACATCCGACATGATTTCAAGCTGTAATTAAGGGTTTCCAAGTTGGGGTTTTTTCGAATGTAATCAACAGAATCTCAAAATACCAAAAACTTCAAATCTTTAGGGTTATGCCTTGGAGACTTGGAGTGAGATAAGTATATGGCGCTCGGCGTTCACTAAGCAAACCAGTTTAATCTAGCAGTTCAATAAATCTCTAAACTAGGGTAACCAATGGTGAGTAGCATAATTTGGTGGTCCATGCTTTATAATGATTTGTGATGTCCACACAGAGGGTGAGGACCGGGATAGAAGACAAAAGTTTACATACTAGAGGATCGATGTTAAGTGATGATAGATTGTAAAATAATTCTGGTATGTCATTTAAAACCTTTGTCATTAATTCATAATCATTCTGAACTGGATCATAAAGCAGCTGTACTTCCTGTAATGAGAATAAGTAGCTTCCTCCGTAAATAGGAAGATAATATATAGAAGAGGAGAGGTATCTCTAGTAAGATTTGAGTAAAATGACTCGAGACACATCTGGAGTTCTGGACCATACTCCATGGATGGTCATGGTGTAAGCTCGAAAATAGCTTATGATAATTGGAGTGCTGATCAATGACGAAAATTCTCAAAGAGGCATTGTTGTAAAACGTACTTCTACACAGAAGGAGCTGGCAAGGGGGCAACGTTGGGGTCTCTCCTTGACTGGGAAACACACCTTGGTGCAGGACTTGTAATTGATTTAAGAAACCTTAACAATTTTTTAAGTTTTGTTATTACTTGGTTCTGTCTTAATGGACCAACATTTTAGGTCTTGGGCCCTCCTAAAAAATATGAACCTGGTATGCACTCTTCCAACTAATTTATTATGCCATACAAAAGAGGGAGGCCAGCATCACGGAAAATCAGGACTTGGAAAAAACAGGTCAGAGTAACACTAGCACGCACATGCAGGGTTTGATTGCAAATCCGCATCTCGAGGGTCAGCCTCTGTTCTTGGCCTCGAGTAGCTCTTCATCTCTATTATGCTTCCATTTCTTTTCACTCTCCTCTCTTCTCTCTTCTGATTTTGCTTATGGTGTTGACTGGAAGTAAGTAGTTAACAACTTAATGTGTTACTAATGTTATAGCAGCAGATAACTATGGGGACTGGTAGGAACATGACAATCACTTGAGGGTAAGTTTTAAAATGGGCCATCTTCAAGATGAACTGGAGTTATATCCAGGAATGTCAGCCTACATCACATTTTTTATTCAAGGTTGTAACTCAATGTTGAACTTATTTTGCTTATTATTTAGAACTCCCTGAGGTTGTTGCACCATTTGATCGTTGTTCATCTGTACAAACTTTTTTCCTGAATATTTGATGTTGTTAAACTGTTTGTACTGGACTTTTTCCAAATTGACTACTATTTCAACTTTGATTATTTTTAGTATGTGTGTGTATATACGAAGATATATGCGACTAAATTTATTTTCAATCACGCGCCTTGTAGGCACACACAACTCATCCTCGCCTGAGAGACCTTTGCCACTCACGGCGACTTGCCAACTTCGTATTAAATAGCACTGCAAATAAGCAACCACGAAAAAAAAAACTACAGGATACAAGAGTGGCGAAAGAACCAGATTTTAACACATGATCGCATTAAACATCTAGCGATTGAAACAAATATAGTTTTAGGGGGAAAATGAGATGAACGAAGTCAACCATATGCACAAAAGGAACAGTATCAGAGATGGAGTAAGATGCAATACCAGGAACTAGCATATAATCATTGAATGAAAACAAAAATTCCACTTACTTAACACACAATTACGCCTTATCGAGCCTCCTTCCTTTCATAGATCATCAATCTGTGCATCAATTTGAGAATTACACGAACAATCATGTAAGTAACTGCATAAACTACCGATAAAATCATCAGGAACACGGTTTCAAAAACCTACAATATGTTGAGTATGATGATGTAAATTGAAAACATAGCCGTACCTTTAGAGTTTTAGAGGGTGGAAGATGAAATTGACATTGTGATTTGAAACCCTAGATTTTCTGTATTGAGAGTGAGGAGACTGAGACGGTGAGTCGGAGCTAATTACGGCGTTTTATTAAGAAAAATATCGACCATTTGTGCTTCTAATTTTGGCCTGACAAATTTAAGGTAAATATTGCACCTACCTCCCTTAAAAACTTAAGTATTTGCATATTAGCCCCTTTTCATTTGAGTATGTACGTTTCAGTCCCAGTGGTTTGATGATAAGTTAGTTGTAGCATGGTGTCATGTAAGTGAATAATTTTAGTTTAGTGTTTGTGATGACCTTAATAATGAGGAAAAGGAAGGGAAGTAGGTTTTTGCTAATGTTGATCTTGATAATAAGATATGTTAGTAATTGATTTAATGTTTAATATATATATATATATATATATATAATATATATTACAGTGTTGAGAAGTTTACTATGTTTATGACATTGGGAAAACCTTCATTTATTCAATTTTATGCATAATAGCAATGCATGTAATGAAACACACGTGGAAGTTGAAGTATAATTCGTGTCATGTGTATACATGAAACGTAATACGTGTTACTTTCCATGAATGAAGCTAACACATGAGTTGTAGTGTACTGTTAGATCAATAATGTGTAAATATTTAAGATTGTATTCATCCTTGACACTTTTGTTTGGAATGTTTCATTCCATGACAACTTATTACCCCATCCAACAACTTCGGCCATATGTTGATATATTAATGTTGCGTTTCTTTTTTTGTTGTTACCTCTCTGCGAGACAAGTAGCAAGAGTAAAACTGCCCATGTAGCAATGAGATGTGATTGTGACCATGTTCACCACTTTCATGTATGATATGCGGATAGCATAATTTTGCTTAGTTGTTGGTCGAAACTATAGAGATATCATGTTTATTTGGATATCATACTTTGTCCATTGTCAATTCAACCCACTATATCTACCTATGACTAGTTGTCTTGGTTATAATTCCATAACCAAATGCAATTGCAAGCGATCATCTTAATCATGGCGTGATCAATTTACCCTTTTGGAATGTGATTATTTGATACGTTACTTGTATTGCTATCAACGTTGTGCGGTTTATGTCACTTGATATTTCGAAAATAACGAAAACCTCGTTATGTAATAACATACCATATAACGGGAACAACTCATGTATTACCATAGCTACTTATACGGTGCATATCAACATACATTAAAATAATTCTATGCTGGGAATTTTTATGACTGCGAGTTGAATTTAATAAACCATATTTTTTTTAATATGACACTTTTTAACCATAAAAATGCATCTTCCTAACCAAAAAGGGTTGAAGAATATTTGACCCAACAGCACAAGTGATACCTCTACAACCATTAGGTTATTAGGATTGAGACAATTTTGACCAATTTATTTAAAAAAATAATACTTTCAATTATGTTGCATATCCAATCCAATCGGTTAAACTGGGGTATACCAGATTATGGTTGTTAAAGAAGCCGTTGGCCACGAAAGTCGATCAAACCAAGATAAATATTGTCTTGATTTGAAAATAGCCACCCCATGTGGTTTTTCAAGCAAACCTTTTTCATTTAGTGGCTTAATTGACCTATCGACTCACACACACACACACACATATACACGTATGTACTATTTTATAAAGTCTTTAGGTTTTTCTTCTTAAAAACTTTTATGTTGTGTTATGAGTCATTTTTTAAAGAGGAAAAGGAGAAAATGGGGTAAATAATAAATTTCATGTTATCGAGTTTTCTAGGAAGGACAATAAAGCAACAAAAAAAAAAAAAAGAGTAAAATAATCTTGATTTTCTGCTTAAAACCTTCATTCCAAGTGTGAGAGGAAATAGAAGGAACAAAACAATAACAATTATAAAATAATCACATATTTACTCATCAATTATAATATATTTTAAAAAATAATTAAAAGTATATTTGTAAAGATGACATATCTCTTGCTAAAAAACATGGAATTTTATTCTATTTCTTTCATTTTCCTACAACATTTTTTTTTATTTCCACCTTTTTCCCTTTTTTTTTTTTTTTTACAATTTCAAGAATACATCGTTAAATTTTCAAGTATACAACGAATAAAACATAAAGTACAAATCAATGATGCATAAAAACTCTTGAATTTATCATATTTTATTTTACCTTGTTTGTAAACAATAAGAATAAAAGTTTAAGGGGGTTTTAAAAACTCATGTTACAACTAGTATTGAAAAAGGTGCACCATGATGCGATATGACATAAGACATATCTTCGCCGTTATAAAACGACCGATAACGATTTTCGTAACATGTGATTTTCCAAAAAAATTGTTTTTAATCTTTTGTGATTTTTCTAAACCTACTATCAATTACATCAATCTTCTTAGTCAATTATATATATATATATATATATATATATATATATATTCGAACACAAAACAATCCAAAAACCAACAAAATTAAAATTTAAGGTTTGGTTTCCATATTTGAAATTCGATTGCATTTTTGATCGTCCATCAGAATGCACCCGACCCGTATGTGGCCCGATGTACACCCCTACGGCTACGCTACGACTGGGAGTGAACACCTCCAAAATACGGATTTGGGCCTAGAATTCGAAGCCCTAGAGAAGCACATATTCACAAGGCGACCCGAAAACACAAACGACATCGTTTATAGGGAACCACTCAGGTTAGTAGTGTTTACCTCCACTAGTTATCCGATCATCCATAAACCTCACTCCCTAACGCCGCCGAATCACATTCGTCAGGTCAACACATCCGCCATCGCCGCCGTAGCTTCAATGTATTGAAACTGTATTACAGATGGATGAGGGTTCATATCACTCGTAATTTGAACTTAGCGTTGGGTTACCGCCGGATCGTCGCTCGTTCTTTTGCATCAATTTTGTCATTTCGGGCAGCGGCGGCGGATTATTCTCTAACAAAGATTCGTAGGAAGAATTATCTTTCTGCCTTATTAGGGCGGTTCAATTTATCGACTGTTGCTGTAGTGGGAGATCTATCTAGCGTCAAGACAATGGGTTCGCAAGCGGGAGAGGTGGAGTGGCCGGCCAACAAAGTTAGGGACGCTTTTATAAAGTTTTTTGAAGAGAAGAATCACGTTTATTGGAAATCAAGCCCAGTTGTCCCTGTCAATGATCCCACCCTTCTCTTTGCAAATGCTGGTTTGTTAACTTCTTCTCAGTTCTCACCTGGTTGCTTGCATATGAATCTACTTGCTACTCTGACGATATTTTAAGTCATTCATGTTCATGAATTTCTTATTTAAGAAACTAATATTTGGAATACAGAACTGATCAATTGTTTTGGACATGTATCGTGCATATACTTGGTAGCTAGTTTGGAATTAGAGGCAAACTTCAAGGCTTCAACAGTTTGATATTTGGGTTCCAAATTGGAACCCTTTAACCTTAATAATTAAGATCGACTGTCTTAACTTTTATGGAGAAGTCACAAAAAGTTTATAATAACATATACCAATAAGGAAATCTTAACCACAAGGCTTGTGGCGTAGTGGTTGTCTGGTTGAGGTCCTGGGGATGTGGTGGAATATCTCATCTGCCCAGGGTTCGATTCCAGGCGTACACAACAATTGTGGCCATTGAGTTTATCAAGGCTAATTTGTTGCGTCACGGTTTGCCAGGATTAGTCCAGGCATAGCCTTGGACACCCTTCCAGAAAAGAAAGGAAATCTTGATGTTGTGTTTGTATCAAAATGGATATTCATTTTGAGATTAAAGAGCAATAGGTTTGACCTCAAAAGGCAAATTATGCCTCTTATTGTTGGAGTATCACGTAATTGATAATGTAAGCTTTCAAACAAACGGAATAGTAGGGACACTTTTAGTCCTGGGGTGTTATTTTTACTCGTTTACTTCCAACTTTTAACTAGCATTTTGATGAACTTAGATGTAATTAGTTGGCACTATTGGTGGGGCAGGAATAGTTCTAATTCATACTGAAAATTTAGAAGTTTCCCTGTTATGTATGGGGTACAAGATACAACTTACAACAAACTTAGTTATTAGCAAACTATTTGGCAGGTAATTTGATCCTTTTTTATATTAAAAATAAATGTCAGTTTAGGTAAAATTGCAGTTAACATATGATGCTGTAAATTGCACACTGCTGCACTTATCATGGGATGAAAAGAGTACATAATAAACGAGAAGACGTCAATCTTGTGCTTTCCCAAGTTATGTTTGGATCAGCTGCAAGCCTGCAGCAACTTTGATGGTGCTATGTTCTATATGTACAATCCACAATATGGTGTGATTCAATGGTAACTTTTTTGTATTTACAGGAATGAATCAGTTCAAGCCTATCTTTTTGGGAACTGTTGATCCTAACACTTCATTGAGCAAACTGACTCGTGCCTGCAACACCCAGAAGTGCATTCGAGCTGGTGGGAAGCATAATGATCTCGATGATGTTGGCAAAGACACTTATCACCACACCTTCTTTGAGATGCTTGGTAACTGGTCTTTTGGGGATTATTTTAAAAACGAAGCCATTGGATGGGCATGGGAGCTTCTCACAACTGTAATGGCGTATTTTCTTATCTCATTTTACGATTACACTTGCTTGTCCATAACTCTTGGCAATTAGCCATCATATCATTGGAAGTTGTATAGCTTTAGTACACTTAAGAGTTTTCTTCACCATATTATTTGGTTCTTGCCTACTTATGGACAGGTCTTTAAGCTACCTACTGATCGAATATATGCTACTTATTTTGGTGGTGATGAGAAATTGGGCCTTCCTGCTGATAATGAAGCTAGAGAGATATGGCTCAAATATCTGCCACCCAAACGAGTATTGCCTTTTGGTTGTAAAGTAAGTTTCTCATCAGTTTTTATCATGCTTATTTGTCTTGTCTGATCAGCAGAACCTTAACAACAGTACTTTGGAGCCAAGAAGAGTTAAATGATCTTGTTTATTCTCCTGTTTAATATTGTGGTAGGACAACTTCTGGGAGATGGGTGATACTGGACCTTGTGGACCCTGTACTGAAATACACTTTGATAGAATTGGTGGTCGTGATGCTGCAGAGTTGGTTAACAATGATGATCCTACATTGATCGAGATATGGAATGTTGTCTTTATTCAGGTAAAGCTCTTGAAGTTTGTCTCATGTATAGGCATGCATGGTTTTTCCATTTTGGGGTATTTCTGTCAGGTGATTGTAAGTGTTCTTTTATATCTAATTCACAGTTTAACCGAGAAGCTGATGGTTCCTTAAAACCTCTGCCTTCCAAACACGTGGATACTGGAATGGGTTTTGAAAGATTGACTTCAATTCTTCAGAACAAGATGAGCAACTATGATACTGATGTCTTTATGCCTATTTTTGATGCTATCCAACAGGTAATGCAGTGAGCTGGTTTATCTTTTGTATTATATCTGACTTTAAATTTGTGACAATTCAAGTAGGCCTTGTACTATGTTGAGGGGTATATTACTTTTATGCCTAGCTTGCATGTTTTACCATCTGTCTTATTCATTCTGACATCTTAAGCATAATCAGAATAATATGCTGCCAAATAGATACCGTAAGTTATAAAACTATTCAGAGACAGGCTTTAAAATAGCAGATATATGAAAATATAATGGTAGGCCACTTGTAATGTGAAATCATATTGATGGGCATAAAAGCTGATTGAACAAGCAGAATGTTAGGTTGGTCACCTTAGTGGGGAGAGTTGTAAGTTAGGCCATATTTTCTTCTGTTTGTTATAAAAACTGCAAGAATCCGTATAAGTACTCTCATCTACGTATGTTAGTGGCAACATGCATTTATTTGACTTTCTTCCACTTCTTTTGGGTAGGCAACTGGTGCTAGACCGTATTCAGGGAAGGTTGGGCCAGACGATGTGGATGGAATTGACATGGCGTACAGAGTTGTTGCTGACCATATTAGGACACTTTCATTTGCCATCGCCGATGGTTCTTGTCCAGGTTGATTTGAAAACCTGCTCTGCTCCACTTTACTGCCTTGTAGTGCAGGAAATTTTTTTTTGTTATTGTGGACATAACTATATTCTTCATGATATATGGCACCATGGCGTCATAAGTATTTGTCCTTTGTTTCATGTGCATGTCATAAGCTGTTTATTTACAAATCTTTTCAATTTTACATTTTTTTATCCATAAAATGAATTGCTTTCTGTACGAGTCTCGTAACCGTATATTCAGTTTGTCCATGAGAAGTTGATAAGTTCTCGTCGTGGTGATTGGCCCATGTACTGACTGCTATATCTCTCCCTCTCCCCTACCTGACTGTGTGCAAGTCCTTATGATTACTCAATTGCAATTGTGGCCCGTGGTACAGGATAGTTGTAAGCAGGAACTTTTTGAATGAATCTTGGCACATCGGCCTAAGAAAAGAAGATGAGAATGAAAGAAAGCAGAATTATTTGAGTGTTCTTGGTATAAGAAACGAAAGCAAGAGAACTTTTTATTGTACAATATTTCCTTTTAATGTAGAAATTTTTACAAAGCGGCAGGTGTCGACCATTTGCAATGGATGATGCTTCTGTCCATCAGTTGAATCCACTGTTTCATTTGTATGGTTTAGCAGACTGAAAGATTTCTCTTGTTTAACTATGTTTTGTTTCCTTTTCTTCCCTCATTTGCTTTGGGTTTTTCTATTCTTCTAGTGATTTGTATAGATAACATTGTATCAACTGTCATGATCGATGGTGATGTAACTTATTCTAACTTTTATGATAATAATTTTGCTTTACAGGCAATGAAGGGCGTGAATATGTTTTGCGACGCATTCTTCGCCGAGCAGTACGCTATGGAACAGAAGTACTTAAAGCACAGCAAGGATTTTTTAACGGGTAATTGTTGAAAATTTTCTTTAAATCGATAATATATTGTATATTGTAATACATGTTGATTGGATTCTGCAGTTTGGGTTTGTAATTTCTGGTAATTTCTTGTCATGATGGAAACAGATTGGTAAAAGTTGTGGTGGATGTAATGGGCCATGTCTTTCCTGAGCTAAAGCAACAAGAGGCACACATTAGAGAGATTATAGCAGAAGAGGAAGCAAGTTTCGGGAGGACGTTACTCCATGTAAGCTTGATCTTCATTCACGCATATACGTTTATATTTACACAAAAATTCGAAGTCAAAATGGAAAGTGAAAATGGTTGTGAATGAATTAACCCTTAATATCTGTTTTGCATATGGATAATAAAAGCTTGCTAGTCTCATCTCCTATTTTTGAACCAATTCTCTTTTTAAAAAATGTTGTTACGAAGAAGAGAAACAACCAGAACGAAAATAAGAAAATACAAGATGTATACAAGGACTAAAGTGCTCATGGTTTTCTATAGGGAATTGAGAAGTTTAAGAGGACGGCTCAAGATGTTAAGGGAAAGATATTTAGTGGACAGGCAAGTTTCCTGTATTTACATTCCTTTTTCTGTTTGATTGTTCTTTTCATATTTTATAGATCAAGGAGTGCTCAGTTGATCTGTATGTTAGTATGTGCTCCAAAATTATCCTACCTTTTTTATAAAATCTATTTCTACCATTTGTTTTGTTGAGGGAAGCATTTCCTTTCTTTTGAGACATTAGTTACTCTACTTGCATTTTGTGTTGTATCATTTGGCATTTAATAGAACTATAGCTATACATTACTTGATAGATATTAAACTTCTGAGAGATTAAATCTTAGGTTCTTAGCTGTCTGTTTCTGCATTCTTTCTTTTGAACAATTGATCTCTTGGTTGCAGGATGCATTTGTGTTGTGGGACACTTTTGGATTTCCACTGGATCTGACTCAGGTGTGTGGAGGTTATTTTGACATATTAGTTCTTTCTTGCAAATTTTATCGTATTGTGAACTTTAATTTTCTTATTCCAGTTGATGGCAGAAGAAAGAAAGTTAGTGGTTGATGTTGAGGGTTTCAATATTGCTATGAATGAAGCTAGAGAACGATCAAGAAACGCGCAGAATAGGGTTGAACATTTTTCTTTGTTATCTCTTGGTTGTTTCCATGGAAAATAACACTGACAAACAGTGTTAGAAAGGAAAAAAAATGCTTAAAAGAGTAGCCAGGTTGCTATTGTTCCTCATTTTACTGGCTTTGTATTGTGGCAGCAAGCTGTTGTTGCTATTGTCATGGATGCAGATGCTACCTCTATGCTGCATAAGAGAGGGGTTGCCACAACAAATGATAGTTTCAAGTTTACATGGTTTCAGGTGTGTTTGTGAGCCTGTTTACTTGTGTGTGTATTTCTGTGTGTGTGTGTATATATATATATCTTGCTAACTCATCATTATATACATATTTGGTCATTCTTGGTAAGTTTATATCTGATAATCTCATCCATGGATGCATTATTTGAACACAATGCTTTAACTTAAACATTGAGTTTCCGAAACGTTTGAATAACATTATCGCTGCTTGTGCGCTGTTCTTAAACTCAGACTCATATATGCGCAGATGCTGGTCATTTAAGTGGAGACTGTTAAGTTCTTAGAAAATTTGTATACGATTGATCTGTCTTGGTGAAATTCATTGAAATTTCTTGTTCTATATTCACCATAACTGTTGCTTCGTATGCTGAAAATATACTTTTTGAGGTTGGATTTTATGAATCCTGCCAATGCTTACATTTTGAACAATTTCAGGACCACAAAAGTGTGATCAAAGCCATTTACACGGGGAGTGAGTACGTGGAACATGCTGCTACTGGTGATGATGTTGGTATTATTCTTGAGAGCACAAGTTTTTACGCCGAGCAAGGTGGTCAGGTTAGGGCTTGGTATCCGACTCTTGAGTAACTATTGTCACATAGGAAGCAAGTTCCAGGTTTTTAAACTCTTTTGCTTTCATAAAATCTTCTCAAAACTTTGAGGCATGTTTTTTAAACGGAACCTTTAGTAGCTGTTTGATCTTGCCAAGACTACATGGGGATGGGTAACTCATCCTTTACCATGATAATTTGTAATTTATTTGTCAAATACTCATTTCACGAGGACATTTTTGTGGGAAAAGGTGACAATTTAATGATGTATAAACAGCCTTTCACAGCAATATTTTGTTGTTACTACTTTGTCTTCCCATGAAAAACGTAATGATCACTTCATGGCATGCAACTTTTGGAGCTTCTTAGTTAATTCTGACACAGTTTTCTGGGATTTTAGATATTTGATACTGGAGTACTTGGAGGCTCCTCTGGATCATTTGAAGTTTGTAATGTTCAAGTTTACGGAGGTTTTGTGATTCATCTTGGTAAAATTACAAACGAATCTGGAAAATTCTGCGTAGGAGATGAAGTAATTTGTAAGGTAAGCAGCCGATGCACATAGCCGATTTTATGCTTATGACATCATGCATAGCTATATTCTTGGTTTCACCTTTTTGGGATTAATAATGTCTTGTATAGGTTGACTATGACAGGCGTCAGCTCATTGCTCCTAACCATACCTGTACACACATGTTAAATTTTGCCCTCCGGGTAATAATCTAAAAATAACGCTTTCATAAGTCTTTATTGTCACCTTGATTGATTGGTTTCAAATTCATAATATCGCAATATATTTGCAGGAAGTACTTGGGAACCATGTTGACCAGAAAGGATCTATTGTTCTTCCAGAGAAATTAAGATATGACTTTTCCCATGGTAAGATTATAATTACTTTTCTTTGTTTCGTGCTCACAATCATGTAAAAATACATTGAATCTTCCTACAGGGAAGCCTGTAAAGCCGGAAGACCTTCGCAAGATTGAAGCCATCGTGAATGAACAAATTAAAGCTGAACTAGATGTTTCTGCAAAAGAGGCAAGCCTTGCTGATGCAAAGCGTGTAAATGGACTGCGAGCGGTTTTTGGTGAAGTAAGCAGTCTAAAATCCATGTTGGTTTTTTTATATGTTACTTACCATTTTAGTGTTTTTAGATGGTGGGGTGGGGGGRGGKTSKRKGKTYTYTAGMTAGGTWKGCSKTWKCTTTYTWTTGKAAT